GCATTGTTTTTATACCAAACTGTAATCCATGAATTCAGTATGTACATAATGGCCATTATTTATATTTATCTTAGGCTCGAAGTGTGTATTTTATGTATATGTTTGTTTTAAATAACATATTTTTACAGATGTCACCCTAACAATATTGCCAATGTCTTGAATATGCTCATATTTGAACTCAGCAACCCTCAAAACATATAGAAAGACATATTACACATCATTTTTATGTACTTTACTGTGAAAATATGGCCAAAAAGCCATTTCCCGCCTTTTTTCACAAACAAATAACAGATACCAATATAAATCTTTAGCTTTGGTAAAAAATATTGTCAGATTTGTGTTCAGCAGCAAAAATGGCCATAGAATCCATCTGTTTTAAAAAAATTTTGTCATTTGCCCACCCCTACTTTAAGAGCCATTCTTCTTTCTCTCTACTCAAAAATCATAGCTCTATCCACTGGATTTGATGGTTTGAAAATTTCTATTCAAATAACTTTGTTTTTTATGAATCAAGGGAAGGAAGGGAGAGAGAGAGAGATTCCTGCTTACTTTCAGGTTCTCTGGTGTTCTCATGCTGGAGTCCAGGTACCTCCCCAGCGTGTAGATCTGTTTCCTTTCGTGATCTAGACACATTTTATGGCAAGAACGAGCACTGGGACCTCCCTGGAAAAATATTTTGTTTTGGAAAAAACAGCGGTTTAAATACAGCCTTTGCTAAAAACTTAATATAAGACAGCAGACCCTTTGGGGCACCAGGGTCAAAACATATTCTAGCCTTATACAGGAAAAGTGCCCCATTTTTTTCTGAGTCTACTGAAAAATTAGCTATTTGAGTCAGTTTGCTCACATGATGTAGGCAAGGACTTGTTGGCCGTAAAACTCAGGCCACACTAAAGCCACTCTCACCTCTTCCAGTGTATTTTTAGACAAACAGGTCCACTCCTGACTAGGAACATTGTAAGCCCAGAAGTCAGAGAGGTCCTGGTTTCCGTCCCAGCCTCCATATAAATAGATGGTATCTGCAAGGAATAGATACTGATCAAATTAAAGTTGAACTATTGACTTGAAACTTAAGCACTTTATTTCCCATTTAATTCTCATAATAAGACAGAACAAAAGGAAGCCTTAGGATGTATGAACAAAGGTTTTGACAGACAGATGGATAAAAAATATTTCAACACTAATATCACAGCTGTATTTACATACTTTGTGTCAAACAAAGTCCAGCTACAGGGGCGGATTTAGGCCGTCTTCTGGGTCTTCTGGAAGACGGTCAGATTTTTAAGTTAACATTGATGGGTATCTAATTTTTTCTGTCGGAAGACGGTCAAAAATGGAAGATGAATCAACAAAGATAATTTGGAAGACTGTCAGAAAATATCTCTGGATCCGCCCCTGAGCTATGTCAATGTGTTATTAATTACATACTGACTGACCCCCACACTGACCTGTGTGGACATCAATGGCCATCTGGTGACCTCCCCTCATCCCTGGCCTGGTGTCCCTGGTGTCTGCCACATCTGAGAAGGGGAGAACATTTAGAACTTATTAATTTACATTTCAAAGATTATACATTAAGATGGTTCCTATAAAATTAATAGACTTTTAGGTATTATATTTATACAATTATCATCAACATGTCCAGTCGTTCTTATTATATTAATATGAATTACAAAATGCAAGGTAAAAATGCTTTTTCAGGCTAAGTTTTGTTGTGAAAACAGCCCAGAACATTTTCCCCACTCACTGTTCACACTGGAGTGATTGGCAGGCTCGATGGCCGTCCACCTGGGTCTGTAGTCTTGCTGGCTGATAAAATGGTTGAACCAGCCCTCTGGAATAGAAACAAAATGACAACTGCACATCTAAAGCCTAGCCTCATTCATTGAAGGTGACTTGAAAGACACACACCCCATAGGAGAGCATTCACTTTTTCTGGGACATCACATTTATATCATTCAGTTTTCATAAAGGTCTTAAAATATAAAACCAAGTTGAAATTCTTAATTTTTTCTGTGGCATTACAACTTAAATCAAGTCCAATTTCAGTTTGTTCAATACAATCAAAATACGCAAAAATCCCACATAAATTCTAATAACTACACATTATTTTGTGATTCTATAATGTTTACTTTGCTTATTTTATTTAATAAATTATCAACAATGCTGAGGTATGTGTGGAAAGTGGTTTTATAGAAATCAATATAATTACTACTGTAACAGCTATTATTACTTATATAATATCAAACCTCACCTTCCCCAGCGTTATCTACCAGTTTTTCACAAGCATCAAATTCCCCCGAGATCACCAGGGTGTTATGTAACTCAGTGAGTGCAGGGTGCTCAAGGGCAACCTTGGTCTTCTTCTGAAGTGCTTCATATGCTTCCGTGTAGTGGTGCTGTCGAAAGTGCTTCAGACACAACCTGATAGCCTCCCTTTCCCTGTACTGGAAAAATAAAAACATTCATTTGTTTACCTCAGTGAACTTAAGCATGTTCCGTATAAAAGTTTTTGTAAGTGCTTAAGATACAATCCTACAACCTTCCTACCCTGTACTGAAAATGAAAATAAACTTCAAAATGATGTATTTATCAATTTTACACCAGCATGGCATATTACAAACATGGGATTTGTTCATCCAGTCAAGTCTATCCCTAAAACCCTTTAGCCTTCTGACACTTGAGACCAACAGGGTCTAAGTATGCCAAAAACAAAAACTGTCATCTAAAACTAAACAAAATTCCCAAGATCATACTTGCCAAGGCTTTTACAGGTATTTGGTAAGGGGCCAGTGTAAAGAAGCTTATTATGTTTATATACAATAACTGTTGATCAAAACACTTATTAATAAATGTGAAATGTATTCCTCAAAACATCAAAGTTTAACTCCAATAACTGAGCATTCNATGTAAAAAGTTTTATTTTAATCCCTTATTTTTCAAATAATAAACATTACCAGTATACAACAGGAGTATACAAGTTCAAAATTTCCTTGTGGAGAAACAGAGCAAACAAGAACGAAAAAAGAAGTTGCAGAGACCACATAATCATAATTATCTAAACAGCTTGAGATATGATATACCTCTTAGTCAGTGACTGAGAAAAGATTTTTGAAACTCACTTAATTTTTTTACTACTTTCTTATTCTTTATAAAGGTCTAAGCAAACAGTATATCTTCAATATAAATAGTAACATTTCTTGAATTTTCCACCTACTTAGAAAGCACTCTGCCACCAAAGACATAGAGGGTCTGTTTTTCAATATCCATGGCCATTTGGTGGTCAAACACAAGCTTTGGACCCCCCATGGAGAAAGTGTCCTCTGTGATTAGTGTCCATTTGCCAGTGTCAATGTCGTAAACATAAAAATCACTCTGAAAAATTGTGCATATTATGGTTTTATCACATCAAAATTTCAATTAATAAAACCTGTTTCAATTGCACGCTATCACTATTTCAGAGGTGTTTAAATTCATTTACATTTATTTCACTATTTGAATTTCAGCTTATATCTTCCTTTCCTCGAAATAAAAACTCTTTAACCGCCATTCTTCTCTTTCTCTCTACTCAAAAATCATAGCTCTTCCCACTGGATTTGATGGTTCGAAAATTTCTATTCAAATAACTTAATTTGTTTTTTATGAATCAAGGGAAGGAAGGGAGAAATAGGTTCCTGCTTACTTTCAGGTTCTCTGGTGTTCTCATGCTGGAGTCCAGGTACCTCCCCAGCGTGTATATCTGTTTCCTTTCGTGATCTAGACACATTTTGTGGCAAGAACGAGCACTGGGACCTCCCTGGAAAAAATTTTTTAGAATAAAAAACAGTTGTTTGAATACAGCCTGTGCTAAAAACTTAATATAAGACAGCAGACCCTTAGGGACACCAGTGTCTAAACATATTCTAGCCTTATACAGAAAAAGTGCCTCATTTTTTTTCTGAGTGTACTGAGAAATTGGCTATTTTAGGCATTTTGCTCACATGATGTATGCAGGGACTTGTTGGCCGTAAAACTCAGGCCACACTTAAGCCACTCTCACCTCCTCCAGTGTATTTTTAGACAAACAGGTCCACTCCTGACTAGGAACATTGTAAGCCCAGAAGTCAGAGAGGTCCTGGTTTCCGTCCCAGCCTCCATATAAATAGATGGTATCTGCAAGGAATAGATACTGATCAAATTAAAGTTGAATTATAGACTTGAAGCTTAAGCACTTTACTTCCCATTTAATTCTCATAATAAGACAGAACAAATTGAAGGATAAATAAATAAATACTTCAGCACTAATAATACAGCTGTGTATTTCCTCTGTGCCAAACAAAGCCCAGCCATGTCCATGTGTTATTAATTACATACTGACCTGTGTGGACATCAATGGCCATCTGGTGACCTCCCCTCATCCCTGGCCTGGTGTCTCTGGTGTCTGCAACATCTGAGAAGAAGAGAACATTTAGAACTTAGGAAGATTTCAAAGATTATACCAATGGGGGGTTCCTATAATTTTAAAATATTTTAACTATCATATAATACAAATTCTCATCAACATTTCCAATCCTTCTTATTATAACATAAATTACAAAATGCAAGGTAAAAATGCTTTTTCAGCCCAGAACATTTTCCCCACTCACTGTTCACACTGGAGTGATTGGCAGGCTCGATGGCCGTCCACCTGGGTCTGTAGTCTTGCTGGCTGATAAAATGGTTGAACCAGCCCTCTGGAATAGAAACAAAATGACAACTGCACATCTAAAACCTAGCCTCATTTAAATAAGGCGACTTGAAATACGCACACACATAAAGAGAGCATTGAATTTCACTTTTTCTGGCACATTGCAATTTACAACACTCAGTTTCCAAAAAGGTCTTTGAAATATAAAACCGTTTTCTAAATTTTTTTCTGTGACATTATCACTTAAATGAAGTCCAATTTCAAATTGTCCATCACAATAAAATATATATAAAAACTTCACACTTTAATCTAAGAACTACATACTATTTTGTAATAATTTACTTATTTTACATTATCAACAATACTGAGGAATGTGTGGAATATGGCTTTACAGAAATCAATACAGCTATAATCTTTTTCATAATTAAATATATTTTCACAATAATAAGCCTCACCTTCCCCAGCGTTATCTACCAGTTTTTCACAAGCATCAAATTCACCCGAGATCACCAGGGTGTTATGTAGCTCAGTGAGTGCAGGGTGCTCAAGGGCAACCTTGGTCTTCTTCTGAAGTGCTTCATATGCTTCCGTGTAGTGGTGCTGTCGAAAGTGCTTCAGACACAACCTGATAGCCTCCCTTTCCCTGTACTGGAAAAATAAAAACATTCATTTGTTTACCTCAGTGAACTTAAGCATGTTCCGTATAAAAGTTTTTGTGAGTGCTTAAGATACAATCCTACAGCCTTCCTACCCTGTACTGAAAACGAAAATAAACTTCAAAATGATGTATTTATCAATTTTACACCAGCATGGCATATTACAAACATGGGATTTGTTCATCCAGTCAAGTCTATCCCTAAAACCCTTTAGCCTTCTGACACTTGAGACCAACAGGGTCTAAGTATGCCAAAAACAAAAACTGTCATCTAAAACTAAACAAAATTCCCAAGATCATACTTGCCAAGGCTTTTACAGGTATTTGGTAAGGGGCCAGTGTAAAGAAGCTTATTATGTTTATATACAATAACTGTTGATCAAAACACTTACTAATAAATGTGAAATGTATTCCTCAAAACATCAAAGTTTAACTCCAATAACTGAGCATTCGAGTCTTTCAGAACTTTACAACTACTATAATGTCAGCTAGCCTACTTACTGTATTGTACCAGTTCATACATGGTTTGACAGTGGCAGGGTCGTCTATTCCTGTGAGACTGACGTACCAAATACTGAAGTTGAAGCTGGGCCCCCACGACTGTATGGGAACTACAGAATTAAAATACAACATTTAATAAAGTATATACATTACAGAGTGCCAAAGTTTAAAACTGCAATATAGTTTTATTCACTGTCAATTTTTAAGTAATTCTAAAATCCATTAACCCATTCAGAGTCTTTTATTTTAATTTTAACACAGTTCTTAAAAATGCATTGAAAACAATTATTCATTTCAGTTTTATATTGTAATATACAATTTTTAGTTGCAAATAATAATACTAATTAACTTTTACACATTCAATAAATTTAGCATTCTTATTTTAATATCTATGGGGCAATTTTGGGGATTGCAGAAAATAAATTGATTCTAATACATATTATAACTATGGCTCTTTATCTACATTTATTTTCAAAGCAAATTGTGCAAAATTAATAATAAAAACTTTCAAAAATAATTATATTACTTGCCTATTTTTATATATCTACATGGAAAGTGGTTTCCATCAATTTCATTTCTTAGTGGAAAAATTTCTGACACATGGTCATTCTTCAGCCCACTGAAATTTTTGAAACAAAAATATGAAAGCCCGTAACATCATAACGCAAGAGACAATATGGTTTTTGCATCAGCATAAATAATCTAGCAGACCTTTAAAGTTTAATCAATAGGTAAAAATTCTACTGATTTTTAAAATATTCATGGAACTTAATAAGCAGAGGTGCCAATATTTTAACTCTTAAACTACTAAAAACACCCACAATTCTTTAATATACCCAAACAATTGAAATGACTCTAGCCTTTGTTGGACAGCCCTGCTCACCTTTCTAATAGTTCTACCATATTTTCATCATTCAAACCACCATAGACTTTGAACTTCTTAAGGTTGCACACATGAGTCTTTTCGTACTTTCCAAATATAACACCTTCTACAATGGCAGGCCTTTCTAGCTTGAGTGTCAAATACTGAAAATAAATCGTAACTTAATAATATGTCAATTTTATCAACTCTGATGCAGCAGACTCCCAATACCTTGACATTTCATGAATAAGATTAACTTCCGTAGGCATTCACTGAAACTTAGATCTTCATATAGTTTGAACAAATTTTCTGGTGCAACAGAGTATGGTGATGTTAAGTATTGCACAGTTAATATTTTTACCAAAGTTATGAACGCATTGATAAAAACTGTTATTTAACAATTTAAAAAACTAGCCACATGCAAATACACTTTCACTGAAAGAAATTCATAAAGAAGACTTAGGCATATACATACTGTACAAAAGTTACTGGCCAGAGGTTACCAAACAAACCTTAGTTGGCTTCTTTGAGAGAAAAAAAATGCAAATTTTTTTTTTCAAAAAATCATTATGAAATTTCCTTTTGCCAAATTTTTCCTCAGGCAAAGTTTAAGTTTTTGGCATATGTAAAAATTTTCCTTTGAAAAAGCGTTGTTTTTTTTTCTTTAGATCTTTTAATTCTAGGAATGCATACTTATCATTCCTTAAGAAATTCCTACCTGTGGTGGGTTGTTTGAGTCTGAAGACCATCTTGAAGACTGGTCGGTGGGGTTATCACAGAGAATGTTTCTGAAAGAAAATAACATTAACTATATGACAGTCTGTGCCTTTTTTTTAAATCTTGAAGCCTACTGGCCATTGGGATATCGGTGTCAGATGATCAATTTATCTCAAGCAGAAATAGAAGCCAGTAAATGAACAAACTTGCACTTTAATTTGCCCATTCTAAAACATTATTCTGGCACTTTTTACAGGGCTACTGTTAATGCCACAGATTTATATCAATTGCTATTTACAGAGAAGACTGAGCTTAATGTTACACTAATTTGCTTTGTACTTTAAATTGACCTGCGGCAAATAACAATAGATAAGATAGGTAGATCACAATCCGCTAGGGGCGCTACAGTCGTAACTGTCCACGGGCAGTGAAATGTTAAACTGAAGTCGGCCTGCTGACAGTTTGCCTATGNCATATGTAAAAATTTTCCTTTGAAAAAGCGTTGTTTTTTTTTCTTTAGATCTTTTAATTCTAGGAATGCATACTTATCATTCCGTAAGAAATTCCTACCTGTGGTGGGTTGTTTGAGTCTGAAGACCATCTTGAAGACTGGTCGGTGGGGTTATCACAGAGAATGTTTCTGAAAGAAAATAACATTAACTATATGACAGTCTGTGCCTTTTTTTTAAATCTTGAAGCCTACTGGCCATTGGGATATCGGTGTCAGATGATCAATTTATCTCAAGCAGAAATAGAAGCCAGTACATGAACAAACTTGCACTTTAATTTGCCCATTCTAAAACATTATACTGGCACTTTTTACAGGGCTACTGTTAATGCCACAGATTTATATCAATTGCTATTTACAGAGAAGACTGAGCTTAATGTTACACTAATTTGCTTTGTACTTTAAATTGACCTGCGGCAAATAACAATAGATAAGATGCTTTCTACTTTTGTCACTTCCATTCATAGAAAAATATTTAACTCTGAAGGCTTATCAGATTATATCACATCCAACCAACTCCACGGTGATTTGTCTGACATTATAAGAAAAAAAGCACTGAAAATGAAATGCCCCATTTACGTAACATTTTTGGGAGTGTTGAAAATTTGGCAAGATGTTAGCATTAGTTTTACAAATGTGAGACAAATGCTGAGGTAGCAATCGATCCCATGCTGTTGAAAGAGATCAAAATCACATCCTGCATAATCCAAGATATTTTCGAAATGTAAATAGTTCACTGTTTACGACGCAGTATCGGGTGCTTTTGAAAAAGCGCCCAATGTTTATCAAAATAGGATGAACAAATGCTAACTATTTCTGAATCCTGACCCCCAATGTAAAACAATTTGGCATGCGTTTTGACTGTATTATTTGCCATATTCATCTGCATTAAAAACTTACTCTGGCAAATAGCTCGAGGAAAAACTTGACCATTTGTACACTGAATATTTCAAAGTCCCACTTTTGGCCGCCATCTTCCACGACTACCATGAAGTAAATCTATATGCTTAAGTTGATTGGACAGTATTTCTTTGGTATTTTGACATACCAATTATCCTACCTAATCATTTATACTTTCTTTTTTTCTTAATTTGTTATAATGATTGTTATATCAACGGATCAGAAACAATAAATTATCACTTTTCTCATTTGCTGCTCCATCCACATCTTTCTGTTTAAATTATATGATGTAGGTAATTACACAGCTGTCAAAATATAATATCTGTGGCTCTTCATTAACTTCCCATTTACTGCAGTCCTGCACAACCTTTGAACGAAGCCTAGCGAAGCTTACGCTGACTAAAAAGCCGCATAGCTTTGCTTCCGCACTGTTTGCATACGGTTAAAGCAGATTTAACAAAATGCTCTCAGGTACATTTGGTCGCACCGGTGGTCTCAAGATTCCAAGATATATCGCACAGAATGACCTTACAAAGGTATTTTTCTTACTTTGTCTGGTTTCTGTGGGGGTACATGAAAATCTTGGTCTGTACCGACTTGGAATGCCTTTAATAAATCAATGTCCGTTTCATTTGATTAATGCTTAATTAAGTTTTCAATTAATCGACGACTTTGAGAAATGCATACTGACCCTTGTCAAATCCCTAAAATCTGTATCTGTTGTCATCAACCAAATCTAATGCTGGCGTGACAGGAAGGCTTATATCCCAGGAATGGATGTTTAGGGTCCATAATGATCATAATTACAGGTTAGGTTAGCTGTTAATATTGGGGTCAGTTTATAGGGCAAATGTCACCTGTAAAAACTCTCTGAAATGTCTGGTGCCTTTGGTTCTTAGTGTGCTACTTTTCCTGTCACACTAGTCATTCTAATGTTGGTTCAAGAATTTAAAACAGCTTAGCATAAAAGAGGGTGAGGGAATAGTTGGCTGCTGCGTTTGTGAAGGAAAGCGATTGTGATGAAAATCTCGTATAACCACTGTAAAAGCACCATTTTTTTTCAAATTTTTAATATTCTATTTAAAATGTTACATCAATTAGTATATTTTACAATTTTGATAAAGCATATAAGAGTCATTATCATCATCATTAATATTATTAATGAATTTTTTTTTCAGGCAGTTTGGAATATAAACCTGTCTACCTCTGCAAGGCTCAGGTGAGACTGAGGAATTTAAAAGTTTAAGTTTATAAATTACAGGGATGTTTGTACCTCTTGTATTATTGTGGTTATGGAGCTTGATAAAGAATGCCAACTAAAATACTGATTGTCAAGACTTCAATTTGTTTACCAAAGTAGAAGTGTTGCATTCTGAGAACAACACTGATCCTATTTTGCTGGCAGAGCAGTACATTTGTTTGAAGTGACTATTTTTAAACAGGGGCGGATCTAGACATATTTTCTGACAGTCTTCCAAATTATCTTTGTTGATCCATCCTCCATTTTTGACCGTCTTCCGACAGAAAAAATCAGATAGCCTACCCGTCAATGTAAACTTGAAAATCTGACCGTCTTCCGGAAGACCCAGAAGACGGCCTAAATCCGCCCCTTGTCGGAGACATTTAATATTTCATAGACGATGTCTATAATTTCAAGTCATAACTTTTATTATTCTCCATAATACATTGTGTCAATTTTGAAGAGGCTGAGTAAGGCTTGTGTACCTGTCGCATTAAGAAGCCAGTGATAAGAAGTGCATGAAGCCATTGGCTGGAGTACGTACTAAAAGTGTGTAATATTGAATAGAGAATCAGAATGTACCTGAGCAGGCAACGAGTTCACATTAAACAATTGAAACTTGTCATTTTTGTCAGTGTGGATTTCCTCTTTAGCGTTCAGAGGTAACGATTTCGACCGCGAATCTGGAAGGTTATACTAAAGCGTTATCCTAACTAAAAGTGTCCAACGGTGTCCGTATTTCGAGCCTAATTCTAAATTACGTTTGTATCTAAATTTGCGCGGTTCCGGACACGTTTTGGCGAGCTCGCCACTTGTGGGGAACCCCTTTAAACCATCCCGGGCCCCCACATTACATAAAATACCCTTTTAATATTAAAACCCCAGGGGTTGGGTTCGAGCCTAATTCTAAATTACGTTTGTATCTAAATTTGCGCGGTTCCGGACACCCTGTTAAACATATGTAAATTGAATTAGCCACACAATATTTTATAAAGTACTTGTGTAATAGAAGGTATGAAGTAGGTCAATTTTTTTCCATGCGGCATAGTGGCAAAGATTTTTTTTTTGTTTCTTTGTTTTGTAGTAATGAGGTGAAAAGTTTCTCTAATATCAATATTGCTGAAATTCCATAGGTTTGGCATGCCTATGTATGTATGTGTATATATATATATATATATATATATATATATATATATATATATATATTTTTTTTTTTTTATTTTCCCAAATTCATCTTTACCAATAAGAAGCAGTAGTGCCCTGGAGTCCGAGTACCTCCACAAAAGCATTCTTCCCACTGACGCCTTTCAAGCCAGCCTGATTCGCCTCCCAATCCCTGCACTAGAGAAAACATGTCAGCGCTACCTCAACTCACAGGAGGCTGTACTGGATCCAGCAGCATTTCAGCGAACCTCAGAGATTGTGAAAAGATTTCAGGAGGTCGAGGGGAAAGGTAATAAAATGGTTGTTTTGTATTTATTTATTTATTTATTTATTTATTTATTTATTTATTTATTTATTTATTTCAGTACTAGGGTATTTTAATCATGAGCTTACAAATATGTATTTAAAATATGTGTTATAAAGAAAGTAATGATTATGACTTCAATGTGATAAAAGATACATTATTGATATCACAATGGTACCAACCCAGAGAATATGAATATCACTTTTTTTCTCAGAAAATACACTAATTGACAGAATGATGTGAACGACATGACAATTTAAATGAACACTGTATTGATAGAAAAATTCTATTTGAATGTCCAGCAAGTTTTGAAAATTGGGAACATTTTGAGAAACTTGTTAATTAACAGTTTACTTTTGTTTCAGGTCTTCATGAAAAGTTAGTTGCCAAAGACAAAGCCCATAAACACACAAGTTATATATCAGGTGAGACTTCTGCAAATAATTAAATAATGAGAAAAAACTATGTGCAGGTATGAAAGGCTAAACTATTGAGTTACTTGAACTTCTCCATCAAAGTTCTTGCTTTAAGAAAGATTTTTCAAAAAAAAAAAAAAAAAAGGAGAAGTAATCATGATGTTTTTTGCAATTTTTAAAGAATTTTTAAAACCACAAAAAAAGAAAGAATAAGTGAGGAAACAAAGTAAAAAAACAAGAAAACATTGAAAAAGTTTTCAAACTATACCTGAACATTTACATTGATCTTTTAGAGCCTTGGTTTGACATGTACCTGAAGGCCAGAGTCCCCATAGTCCTGAACTTTAACCCCTTCATGACCTTCAATGATGACCCCAAGGAGGGCTACAATCAACAGGTACCACTACATTGTGTTGTGTGGTGTAGTCTTCTGTACTGAAATGTTTTGTCTTACATTACATTACATTACAATACAATATACTGCACAATCTTGACGTTATATGCACCTAAATGTTATTAATTATGATTTTTTTAAACTGTGAAAGCATGCTTATGTGTTACAAATTTCCTGGCTTGTAATTATATTATCTGTTAACGGTTTTTCGTATTGATTAATTAATTAATTTATTTATTTATTTCCAGTTGATCAGATCCACAAACATGATTGTGGCCTCCATGATGTTTATGAAGACGCTGAGAGCTGGTTATCTAGACCCAGATGTTTACCACCTTAATCCTAAGAAAAGTGATACTGAGAGTTTTAGGAAAATTATGAAGTGGGTGTCCAATAATTTTGTCAGACTAATTTAATTATTATGCAATTTATCTCCATATTGAATCTGTCAGTTTATTAAAATTGATTCATTCTTAGTTTAGTATTTTATATGATGGCAAATACAGTTATCATTAGATAAGTTTAAAAGTATTTTTACATGGAAATTGAAGTCAGTAATTTGTTAATTGAAGTTTGCAAAATTACTTCTTTTCTTTCTGTGAAATCAAAAAAGAAAAAGGAAGACTGAAATAAGCAGAAAATTAATGTCAGATATAAGGTACAATGCTATCCCTTTATATTTCACGTGATGTATATTGTTATACATAATTGATCATTTTTAGGTATATTCCCAATAAGTTCAGATGGTATGGAGCCTATGCCTATAAAGCTTTTCCCTTGGACATGAGTCAATATCCAAGACTCTTTAACTCTACAAGGATTCCCAGGTAAACTGCTTTTACATAATGTAACTATGTAACAAGTGAAATCCTAAAACTATGACAGGTGCGATGTAAGCTTGTCAACAACATCAGCTCACCATCTGAGTTAAGCCTGCCATTGAAAGACAGCTATAAATTATACATGTTTCACACTGTAATAGAGTTATTTTTTCATACTAAATGTGTTATACTGACATCATGAAAATAATTCATAATTAAAAAAAAAATAAAAAAAACTACCATTAATCTTGATGATCCAAACGTTTTTTTTTTAAATTTAATTTGTTATTTTGTAATAGATTTGTCATCAGCATCATTATTATTATTATTATTATTATTATTATTATTATTATTATTATTATTATTATTCAACTATTTCAGAATAGGCAAAGATGAACTTTTCACAGACACCTCAGCCAGACACTTACTAGTCATGAGGAATGGCCACATGTACACATTTGATGTCTTGGACAAAAATGGTAAATAAAGTTTAGCGTAGGCGGAGGCACTGTAGGGGTGACTCCTGCATATAGTAGATGTCAGTAGTTACGTGTGGATATTGGGCATTTTAGTCATGTGATTTATTTATTTATTCATAATAAGAATAACATTTATTTTGAGTCTGAAATCTAATTGTTCAGTACATTTTACCATGCAAGTTGAATAAAGAATAAAAAAGGCGAGTAAAGGAATTGATTAAAGCAAAAAAAAGATTTAAAACATTGATTTAAAATAAATTGTCGAAAATAAAAAATAATACTACATCACTCTCTTTTAAAAGTTGTTTATGAAAATTCTATATATATAAATTCTTAAATGATAAATTTTAAGTTCAAAAGTAGCTGAAGAGGCTATCATACATAGTAAAAGTGGAAGTAAATTCTATTACCTTGGGGCATGGACTTTAAAAGACTTTTCACTGTATCTGACAATTCTATCTTAACGTCCGTTACTCAATTGTTTATTTTATTGTTACAGGTATGATAGTGTCACCCACAGAGATCATGTCACACCTGCAGTACATCCTCAGTGACACCCGCCCCCCACCAGACTACCCCCTGGGGTATCTCACAGCAGAGAACAGGGACACTTGGGCTGTGGTCAGGGACAAGTTGCTAGATGCAGGTAAACTGGGTTTGAAAGATGGCGAAAAAGCTTTTTGAGTTATCTTGTATAGTGATGTAGCTTGAATTAAACATTTAAATTGTGGTAGGGGCAGGGGTTACAGGGATCTTTAAAAGAGATCTATGAAGTTCCAGGAAAATTCTTTTTTTTTTTTTTTTTTTTTTTTTTTTGTTAAAATGAACAGTATCTGCTTTTTAAGACTCCTGTGTCTTGAAGGGCCAGTAGACTTAAATGTGAAGGACACAGTTTGATTTTCTTAATTTCAAATGGGTGAAAAAATTCCAGGTAACACAGAACAGCTGAAAATGGTGGACAGTGCTGTGTTTGCCTTGATTCTAGATGATGACATTCCAAAGGACCCCATTGAAGTCTCTAGATTGCATCTACATGGGAATGGGGCCAATAGGTAGGGGCACAACTTCAATTATAGCCCCAGATCTCAGGGTTCATGGATTAAACTTGAGACTTATTCTGATGGCTTTATGATATTTTTAGAGAAAGATAGATTCAGAATTAATATGCTCTGTATTGAAACGCAGTTTTTTTAAATTCTTCCGTCAAAAACAAGGGGATTAATTTTGATACCTGTTAAGTTTTGTGCATAGTAATTTTGCATGCTACCAATGTACAAAGAAATTACTTTTAAGTAAATTAAAATTGTTTATGCACACTAAAGACCATTATCATTTTTGATTTGTTAATTTGCATGATAACTGAAAATGTGGTCAGATTCTTTAAATATTTTTGTCTCCTTATTTTAATATAATTTCAATATTTTATTAACATTCCAAGGAATTCTTTTCCTTCAGGTGGTTTGATAAATCCTTCTCACTAATAATGACAAAGGACGGTAAAACTTGTGTCAATTTTGAGCATGCCTGGGGCGACGGTGTTGCTGTGTTAAGATATTTTAATGAAGTATTTAAACTGACGACAGAGAAACCATTTGTTCATCCCGACACACAGCCAGCTAATGTGGATTCTGCGGCAGCAGTGAAAAAGATAGGTAGGTTCAGAAAAGTTCAAAATATAAGATAAAAAGATGTTATCTTCATAACTTAGAAAAAGATAAACAAATGTTTTAATTACATGATAAAATAAAATATTGAGATATTAATCTTGTGATTGTACAAAAGTGCATGCCTCAACATGTTGAATTGTGACTTTATGAAATAAATATTCCCACTGGATTATATATATTTTTCATTTGTCAGTGACACATTTGATTTTGATAGATAATTATTTCTTAATTTTTTTCTTCATGTTAACACAGCAGTACCAAGTTGGTTGATTGATTATGGTTGAATTAAGAATGTGCTCCTTGCTTGCTGTTTCAGAATTCCACTTAGGCGATAACTTAAAGCAAGCGATCAGTGAGGCTAAGAGCCGATTTGACCACCTGGTCAACTCACTGGACCTTGGATTCACCACCACGGAGAAATTTGGGAAGAATTTAATCAAGGAGAAGAAGCTCAGCCCTGATGCTATCATGCAGCTCTCATTTCAGGTTTGTGAAGTAGTAGACTGAGGTAATTTTGACCTCTGTTCAAACCCAAAAGTTGCCTAAATCAGGATTAAAATTAGGTTTTTTTCTTTGTTTAAACTGGAGTACTTCACGTGCCAGTTTAAACTCAGAAGGTTGCCTATAAGTAATTAAGAACTTGATTAGAACTATGCCCAAAATCTGTTATAACCAGGCGGACTGAGATACTGCTGTAGCATCTGACATATTAATTTGAACTAAATTGTAGATTCAGCATAACTTGCCACATTACGAGTCATTGGACTGCCATAGCAATCTCTTGAAAGGAAGTAGACCAATTATTTTGGTCTTAGACTTATAATTGGGCTGGTTTCCCAACCCCAAGTATTGAACTGCTTGCTTTTAAATTGGTTAATATCCTTTTACTAAAATGATTTACTTTGCTGATTGTAGATGGCCTTCTACAAGCAATACGGCAAGACAGTACCAACATACGAGTCATGCAGCACAGCCGCGTTTAAGCACGGGCGTACGGAGACGATACGGTCAGCCACCATGGCAACAAAGAAGACTTGTGAGATGTTTGAGAAGACTGGCAACAGGCCCAGTGTCAGCGAGCTGCAGGGAATGCTGAAGGCGTGTTCAGACAAGCACGGACAACTGACCAAGGAGGCAGCCATGGGTAAGGACTGGGTTGGAATGGTGAGAGATGAAGACTGGAGTGAGAGCAGGTGGAAACAGATGTGTTTGTCAAATTTCTGAGTTAGGGAATGTAATTTAGAAAGATAGAGAGAGAAAGACAGATTGGAGTGAGAAATTGTTATATAATAGTATCAATGTATTGGACCAGGTAAAATACTTTGGTGTAATTTAAGTCAGTTAAGAAAGGTAGTATAATTATTCAAAAGGAAGAGAGAGAGAGAGAGAGTATGAAATTTAAAGTTTATATTTAGTTGGGGACTGTCAGCTAATATATATATCTCTGCCTTAAAGGGATAATAACTCTTCGTATGAGATCTATATTTCACAATAAAAACATTGTGAATAACTCATAGAAATATAATATATTGTGTTTTACCACAAAAATGGCAGTTATAGCTATTATTCTGATATCTGAGCTTGTCTTTAGACCACGTGACCTCCATTGATGGCCATAGTCTGTGAAAAATCTCTTTCAGCAAATAACCAAACTTTTTAGAAAAAAACCAGGGACTAACTTTGAATGTAAAAATGGATTCATTAACCATTGGTAAGTATGGGAAAATTGTTGTTTACTCCAGGAAAATTCATTTTTTGGCCGAAACGAAGAGTTATTATCCCTTTAAGCTTGGATACACAAAGATATTTACAAAACCTTCAAATTTTATAACACGAAGGTAGTTATAAGTAAGACTCAGATGACAGATAGAGACCATTTTTTACCAAATGAAAAATAGATGTGTGTGCAAGAACAAGCAGTCATCTTGCTTAGAATAAGGAACACTGCTAAAACCTATTTTGTGTTTGCAAAAACATATTCCATATTGTTATGTCTTTTCAGCAAGCACTATTTTAGGTTTTTACCAGCTTTTGTAGGCCACCACTACAGGTGCTGATATTTTGTAATATAATGTAGCTACCTTTGTTCATTGTGATTATAGTGGTAGTAAACAGTGTATGCAAACACTTGTTATCATTTATACTGGTTCATTCAGCATGGCTAAATATCACACCGAGCTTTTTAAAAATCACCATAATATTTATATATTTACATGAAAGATATTTTGTCATTTATGGCTGAGGAGGAAACTGAAGAAAAACAAATGAGATCAGATATAACATAACAGATGAAACAATTACTGTAATGAAAACAAAAACAAACAAAAAAAAAAAATAAATAAAGTAAGTAAGCAAGTAAGAAAAAAACGTGTTTGACAACTGTTACAGTCTTTCTCACTGGCAATATTTAGGAAAGAGACAAATTTCATAAATGGTACAAAGTCGAAGATATAGTGATATTTTGAAATAATTATTGAAAAATATTTCATTGGCCAGTTCGAAAGTTATATTGTTTATTTAAACACTTCATGAAGAATTTTAATAGAAAAACGTAGTCTTGTTATGAAGAAAATTTTAATTATCTCTGCACAGTTTGGGATTTACATGTACATTAAAGAAATATTACAAACACTTCCTCAAGAGATATTTCACGGTAGTTGTATAAATCAGTGTGATAAAATTTTCAGGGGTCAAGGAGGAAATTGAGGAAGTTTATAAGGAATGAAAGGTGAAAGACTTCTACCACTGCTACCCTGAGTTTCCTGTTTTTATATCAACATGGCTCTGCCATTTCCATTATCCTCTGAAATTCAGGGTGCCTTTTCACAAACTGTGGTAATCATTGGTTGCTGCCAGGGCGACTTCATCATTCATCTCTTAAAAAGATTCAATCTCATTTTTATCTCATTTTTGTCTCATTCAGGCGAGGGTTTTGACAGACATCTCTTTGGGCTGAAACACATAGCAGAAACAGAAGGCATGCCCCTCCCAGAACTGTACACAGACCCTGCCTACTCCTACATCAACCACATCATTCTGTCCACCTCCACACTGAGCAGCCCAGCTGTGCTACTGGGGGGATTTGCTCCCGTTGTACCTGATGGGTTTGGAGTGGGTGAGTTTCATGTTGCTTTGTGGTGTTTAGTGGGTTCAGAATGGGTTAGGGATTGCCTATTCTTTTTTTTTTTTTTAATTCTGTGGTTCATTTTTATGTTAAGTTATTTATTTGTAATTATGTGATGATTTGTGGTGGGTTATTAAGGGAATTTTTTTTTTAATTGAGTTTCTTTCTGTAGAGTTAGTCTTTTTTTAGACACCTCCTGTAATTTGACAGGTGAGCAGTATGGAAATGGATTTTGATCAATATGATAGTTAAATGAATCCCAATTGGTGTATAAGTATAATTATATTATATTATGTTTATTAAATTTTTAGGGTATGGTGTCCAGGATGATTCACTGGGATGTAATGTGACTTCTTATCCTCCCGCGAGAGACGTACAAGAGTTTCTACGGTGTGTTAAACAAAGTTTTGATGACATATACGAAGTTCTAAATGACAGAGACCCAAAGAAATGAGCTAACAAAACTTAGAACTTATTGGCAAACTTATCAAAAAACAAAATTTTTTATTAGATTGCAAAAGGTCGAAATGAGTCCAAAGGAACTCAGTTATAAAGAAGATTGTCACTGGTTGTACCAGAGGTGGATTTGTCCGTGTTTATAAGAAAGATATTACTATAGATTCAACAATGTTAATGTACACTGTATTACTAACCTGTTACACACAGTTCGGTTTTCATACCTAGAACTTCAGGTCCAATGTCTGCCAGCTTCTTTATTATCAAATCTCCATACTTACCTGCCTATTGGACTCTTACTGTCAGCATGCAGCTAATTTGATTCAATTTACCATACCTCAGATATACATTCAGTCACCAGATTTTTTTTTCATAGAAGGTTATGTAATGTGGTAAAAAAGACCCTTCTTGGATATATCTGAGATATGGGCAGTGAACCTCAATCAAATGTCTGTGAAGTTAAGAAACAACAAGGGGCATGTGTGGAAATTTGAAAATAAAAAAAATGGTCTTAGTCGGGACCAAAACTCAGGCTAGAACTATGTAACACGGACAGCTATCAAAGGGCAAGACTTAAGAGTTCAATCATCAAAAGCAAGAGAAGCTCTGAAAAGACAGGGGCGGATTTAGGTCGTCTTCTGGGTCTTCCGGAAGACGGTCAGATTTTTAAGTTTACATTGACGGGTATCTAATATTTTCTGTTGGAAGACAGTCAAAAATTGAGGATGAATTAACAAAGGTAATTTGGAAGAAAATATCTCTGGATCCGCCCCTGAAAGAGGACATCTGGAGGAAAAATGTGATTTTTATTAAACTTGGACTGGGTTAATTTTTCTGTGTGAATAAAGTATATTGAAGGTATCATACATTCAAATACTGTAGAATATTTAATGGGTACATTAAATGTATCAGCATTCCAATTTTTACTTGATTATCATATGAATACATATTTCAACATAGACCAGATGTTGTGTTCACATATGTTTGGATGTATGTTTGCTAGTCTCAGAATATTAAAATATTTCACAAAGTATTGATTTATTGCAACTGGATATTTCTCTATTAACATATTTTACAGTGATTGACAGTTAAATTGACACAGAAGGGTGAAGTATTAAGGAAAAAAATTGGGAACCAGCTTTTTGTGACGACAGATTTTGTAATATGAAACAAAAAATATAGAAACACAAATGTAGATGATTTAAAATTTAGAATGATAAGAAAAGTTACTACTATTACCATAACAGCGAACCATGCAAAACTCAGATTTAAGTAGTACTTATGTAAAACAATGATGCACTGATATTTTGAGCCTCAGTGTAAAATTACATTTTAAGGTAGATCGGTCGTTACATGTTCCAAAGTTCGAATTTTTTAAAATTTTTTTGTGCAAAGAGGTATCCAAGTACATTTAAATTTTACAAAAAAAATTGGGGGTCACCGACCAAATAAGAGAACTACGCCAAGTTGAAGTGCATTACAGACTGAAATGTCGTTAGAAACGATTGACGATGCGCTGAAATTGCGCAAATCGTCAAATTACGTAACGACCGATCTACCTTAAGCTTTCTGGGAATACAGTTAGTATTTGACTTCGACTGTTCACTGTGTTAATAAAATCATTCACTTTTTAATAATATTTTTGTTTCACTCAGTCATTGTATTTTATATTTCATTCAATTTTAACTGGATTTTTTGTTTCATTTTTGTTCGTTTTCACACCTTGTTTGCAACTGCCACTACTTAAAAATCACTGCAACCACTTAGTTGACCCAAGCTCTTGCTGATTACGTCTAAGATAATACATTAAACATTGAAAACTGCAGCGTCATGCTGGTCCAGATGGGTATTAATATTGTGAGATTTGGCTTCTATTCTGGTTGCTATTTTGGTTACTATTTGCTGAGACCGTTGTACATACTATGGGTACTTGGCCGCAAAAAGCCGTTTTGACCAAACGGTGTCATTATACGGATTACGTGTGGATGGCATTAGTTGAATGACTGATTGCACTTTGTCAGTGTTGATTGCATGGCTATACTTTGAACCCATGCGGACATGAGCGGGTCATCTTGCATTTCGTCTGACAGTGAAAACCAAGGAGTATCACACAACTCCTTGGTCAAACCTAGGTCCCAATATACTGTTTACTGGGTCATAAATCTTACTAACTATATCTCTACTATTGAAAGATTAACCCTCTCCCATCGTTCTGAGGCGTAATATTTCGAAACGAAAATATGTGCAACATTCATACAGAAGAAGACTCGATTACTATATTTACGATTTCAAAAAGCGAAAAGCTTGGAAGAAACTGTTCTTTGCAAATCTGGATAAACGAGTCATATTTGTCGAAATTATTGAACCGCTTAACGATATGGAGTACTTGTAAGAGATGGGCAGATACAGCTTCAATGTTTGATCAGTGTACAATTGGTTTCATAGGTACTTGTACAATGCCATCACCTATGTGATGAAATCACTTCAGTGATTGAATAAATCATTAATATTGAACGCGTGTCGGATGTTCTTCAGTATCTCTATGTAGCGTGTGAAATTAATTGTGCAGTTTCTGTTTGGTTCACATCGATGCTTTCACTCCTAGAACAAATCGACGGATTTCTGGTTCAAAACATTGAATATTAGTTAAATTCCTAGAAAAAAAAGCTCTGGCGTTTGTTATTATTTTATTTTATTTGTCTTAGCGGTGAATTGTTGAGGTTTTAATCCACTCGGTGAATTGCTTCGCAAATTGGACTTATTAGAGGTACTTACTGCTTTTAATCTGATCGATTGTGACTTTCCACGTGAAACAAACAAACAAACAAACAAACAAACAAACAAACAAAAATAATAACTTCAATTTGTAAATTTAGATGCATTTTTTTATCATCTAAATACTATTTACCTTAGCTTTTCAAGAAAACGCTAAAACGTTTGATGGGAGACACGTACCGAAGTGGCAGAAAATTCTAGGACGCTGGCATCTGAGAGACAAGTGTCTGATTTATTTCACGCGACAGTCACGGGTGTTTGTCTTCATTTTAAATGACTGGGACTCCAACAATTTCAGCAAACATCGTTGTACCACCGCTATGTCTTCTCCCATACATTTGGAATGTCATTTAACCTTGTGTCCTTTCAGCCATTACGTGCAACCCTTAATGTAAACAACTAGGGTGTTTTAATGAACTTCCAAATTACCAAGCACAGTGTGCCTCGCGTACTATGTGTTTAAGCAGTTCGAGGCTTGGAGATAAGAAAAAGTAAACAGAAACGCCAACGCGCGCGCGCTAAGCCGGTTTGAAACCCTTGGGAACGTGAAAGGCCGGACGCTACTTCTGAGCACAAGGACTTGTGCGTGCTAGTGGAGCATTAAAATGCAGTTATGAAATACCTGTTAATACGCGCTGACAGTTATATAAGCAAACAACCGCGTACCTGCATAGTGGCTCGTAGGCCCAGAGTTAAAGACAAGACAACGACTAATTCGAACGGATATCGTTATTTTGCGCATTTTCGACCCGAACAGAACTACAAGAACAGAAACGGATAGATTTGTAGTCACAATGCACGTAATGTACATCCTGAAGTTCTGACAAACTAAGAAGAAAAAATAAACAATTGATGATAACGTCTGTTTCTGTGTAAATTCCAAGGACCCTCATAAACATACGGGGAATAATAAATATTGGATTAACGTGAGCGAGCGATTTCACGTGGATCTGGGAATCATTATCACTGAATTAAAATTCACTTCTACAAATGTCGTTGGTATACACATTCAAACGCTTCTGGTCATTCCTGCGCTTGGACGAACTGGTCAGCGCTGCCCTGTCCGGAGATGATGACTGGGATTACAGCGAGGAACCCCACACCTCCAGACGCTCAGAAATTCTCCGCAAACACCCGGAAATCAAACGCCTGATGGGGTACGATCCCTTCATCGCGTACGTTCTAGCCTTCGAGGTTTCCCTGCAATTGTTTATGGCATGGTGCGTGCGGGATTCCCCGTGGTGGTTGGTGGTTCTCCTGGCCTACTGTGTTGGGGCGTTTGTGAACCATTCGTGTGGGACAGCTATCCATGAAATTGGCCATAATTTGGCCTTTGGACACTCAAGGCCTATTCTGAATAGACTACTGGGGATGTTTGCCAATCTACCGCTAGCGGTCCCTTTTTCTGTGACATACAAGAAATATCACTCCGATCATCACAGGTGAGTTTTTTTCTTTTTCTTTTTTTTTTAACCCCCAATTGAAAGTTTTCTTATATTTAACTTTTGTTTTATAATTGAAATGTTTTGTAGGTATTCTTTCCTTGATACAGACTATCCCAGAAAACTTAAGTAGGCTTATACTCAAACCTATCTCTCACAAATTGTGATCTAATTGGAAAATAATCTGCTTTGTTGTGTAGAAAACAGATAATATTGCATTTTGAAAGGGATGTACACTGTACGTGTTCAGTCATATATCACTCAGTAGAATGAGAGCACGTGTGTTTGTATAAATTCCCAGCTTGGGCCACTTTGTCAAAATATTGCATCAATTCTATTTAGTTAACTTCACACGTAATGGCAATTAATTAAAGCCGGTTTTATTGGGAGCCGCACGCTCGTTTATGATTATGATTATGAGAGCGTTTATGAGAGCTGAAGAGGAGATATCTGCACTCACGTACATAATGTATATATGAAAATCAGACTAATAGGAATGACAAGCCGTGCTACGTGTTATTGCTACAGCATAGGGGCGTGATACAAAAGGATGATTTATATATATGCTACACTATGATATTTTTATAAAGTGCCATTGAATTAATAGACAGCGTGTTTATATTAAGGCTGGTAATTTTTGATTAAAAAAATTGTAAGCAAAATGAGTGTTTGGAGACCGGTGTAACGTGACAGAGAGTCCCCCATAACAGAGAGTCCGCTTCCCATTCATCTGTACAGGCGAGCCTCGCCCTAGATTTTGTCCCACTTAGGTCAGACTGACCCTAACCATTATAATTATATGGAGGGCGGACTTTCTGTTACACTGACCCTCAGTTTCGTGACGCTGGGGTGGAAAGAAGTGGTGAAGGGATAGTTTCCATATTCATTCTGCTAAAGATTATTTGCGACTACACGTTTTAAACGTCTTAACCCTTATGTCCCATTTTTTTCAGCAAAGCATTTGTCAGTCGTCCTCAAAGTTTCCATGGTAACCAAATCATTACATCCCGTATAACTGTATCTCTGTGGCAATTGCTGCTTGTCAAAACGTTGAACGTTTTTACGTTCCTACCACTTAATAGACTGGTTGCTCACGCATTTACTCTTTCTAATTCAACTTTATTTTATTTTAATCAATATATTTATTTTTTAATTTATTAATGTTGTTTTTGGTTTTGTTGTCGTTGTTGCTGCTGTTGTGTTGCTGTTGTTATTATCGGTAAATTGTTGGGGTTCTAGAAGAAGAAAACATAGTTTCCCATTGCAAGCGGTGCTAGTTTCTTTAAAGGCGCAATGTAGAATGCGTGTATTGGAATGGTAGTATTTTGGCTGGTAGTCAATGCATTCTCTGTACTGTTATTTACTTATAGTAACTTATAGTAACTGGCTCGCGCTGCCAGTAATTACGCCGCGGGACATTAAGGGTACAGAGCGTGATCATAAGACATACCGCGAATAGAAAATAGAATTTAGAAAATAGACATTGCATGTGAACGAAGCCTTAGTCTAATGTTTGACGAGTTTTGTAATCAAATACACACTTGGTGCATGGTTAAATGGGGGTTATGTAAGATATGTTTGCTATTTAACCGATATGTTTATGTGCTTATCTGAGGTCGCTACTACCAGTGCCACGAGTTGAAAATGTTGCACTTTTTTCTTAATATAATTATTTGCTAAACAAATATTCATTCGAATGTTAACTGTTACTCAGTCAGCCGGTAATTATGTGGTGGGCTTTTCTTGATTCGCACAACGTTCAGAAATATAAGCAAATGGAAAATCTGTCTATGAGGTTTGCACAATTTTGTCGTTTGTATGTTACAATTTAGCCTGTAAGGTCATTTGTTTTCCAACACCGACGTAAAAGTTAAGTTGCTCCTCAAAGATATTAATATTTTGACTCTCTGAGTTTTCCAAAATGATTATGATGGAAGAAATTTAAATATTCTACCCTCAAACAGAATAGAAAAATGAAAAATTGAAAAGTTTTTTAAAAGATATAACTAATAGATATAAGAGAAACAAAAGTCATTTTCAAATAAAAACCGGGATTCAGATGGAGTTTCTTGCTTCCTGACCACCTATCTATTCTAAATCATAAAAATTTGTTGGGAACTTTTTGAGATATTTCGTCCAGATGGAAACATCATCTTCTACGCTGCCGGAGGTAACTATAAGGGGGAACGTAAAAAGCAAATAAGATAAACGAAAAAATATCGGTAGTCCATCGCAGGACTCGTTTCAACCCCCCTCCCCCCCACCCCACCCCAAACTTCACCCCCACACAGAAAACTGACGGTTTTGTATTCTCATAGTAATATAGCAACTAATTCATTCGAAACTCGGCCCTGGGAATCATGATAGCGCTATAATATATATACTCCACAGGGGATCAATAGGATTTATTGATTTCTAGCCGCAATCTGATCGATTGTGCAAACAAGGCAGCATGTTGGAGGACACTTCAAGCTTTCTGGAAAATGCGGGGGATAAGGAAGAACAATTCCCTTCTAATTTGAGTGCATTTTAAATGAAAGGCCCCATTGTAGTAATACCCGTAGAGGCATAATATGAGGATGGGATTTGTAACGAAAAATTACCAGCTCCAAATGATCTGATCGCATCTGTATGGGTTACTTGGATACATGTTTGTCTTGCTATTTACTCTGAAGCCTCTCTCACTCTCTCACTAATTCACCCGCTCACACACCCAAGCATATTCACACACACACACACACACACACACACACACACACACACCAAAGCGGATCAAGGGGCAAAACAGTATTCCTACAACAAGTGCACAGAAAGAAGTTTTTTTCGTTGTTCCTTATGTATAATGGTAAAACTGTAGTAGCCATGGTCTAATTTTTGCCCGGCAAAGCAACCAAAGACATTTTAATTCAATAGCAAAATCCTGTAATATGATTATTATTATTATTATTATTATTATTATTATTATTATTATTATTATTATTATCACGAGTCGATGCAGCTGCCTTGTTCTATCTGGCTTCCAGCAAGTATACAAACCACAACAACTGTTAAATGGATGCTATAATGTTTTTAACGCGAAAACACGATGGCTTTCAGTACATGTTAACGTCGAATTGTTTGTATGCCAATCAGCCTTGCGCATCGGCTTTCACACATTCCGAGGTAACATTAAAGGGACTATAATTAGTTTAAAAGCTACATTTGTATAAAGGTAAGCTTGATTAAAGTGGTGTATGCGCATAAGGAATAGATGAATGAAATCCGACATGTGTCGCCATCTATTGACTGTGTAGACTAGGGAACGGAGTCTTACATTTTTGGCAGTCGGAAAGGGCAAAAGATAACAGTGTAATAGGGGGCGAGCATACCAAACTAAAGAGTCAGCGAAGTTTACCAATACTGAGACTAATTATCTGCTCATTATGTCAATATCATTTTATTACGGTGATTGTAATCCGATTAAGATTACACAGCACAAAGGCTATTGAAATAATACATATCTAAACGGAAAAAAACTAATTTCACTTTAAAACTAAGTGTTTTTAAAGCATCGACATGGCAATTCTTTATAACTTAACAACAAGTATATCACACAGCATGCCATCTTCAGGCTAACAAAAATTTACTCCATCATTCTACTTCTATGGTATTACAGATTTACTTTATTATTTGGTAATGAACAGTATTTATACTATGATATACATTGTCGCCAGATGTCTATGGTGTTTAACCTGAGACAAGGTTACCTTGTTTGTATATTTATTTATTTAGTTAGTTAGTTATTTGTACATTTAACATTAATTTACTCCATCCCCCAGTCACTAATTTATCTATTTATTATCAGTTTATTTATTTTTTCGATAATGGAGTCGTGTTTATATTATTTCAGGTATATGGGACACGAATGGATGGACGTGGACATCCCCACCAGACTGGAGAGCCGTCTCTTCCAACATCCCATCACCAAAATCATCTGGTTGTTCTTTCATCCGGCCATCCACGCGCTGCGACCCATGTATAAAAGTCCAAAGAACCTCACGAAGCTCGAAATCACAAACGTCCTCGTTCAGTGCTCGTGGAATCTCCTTATCTATCATTACCTCGGCGGGAAATCTCTTGCTTATCTGGCTTTGGGAACGCTCTTTGGGTTCGGTTGTCACCCGTGTGCTGGTCACTTCATCTCAGAGCATTATCTGTTCCAAGGCACCCAGGCCACCCATTCGTATTATGGACCCATGAACGCCATACTGTTCAACGTTGGCTACCACGTCGAGCATCACGATTTCCCGTATATTCCCTACAGGAGACTTCCCCGCTTGAAGGAAATCGCTCCCGAGTACTATGCCGATTTGCCGTATCATACCTCCTGGTGTAAGGTTCTGTGGGATTTCATATTCCAATCTCATATGGGACCTATGGCGCATGGGGTCGGCATGGAAGGGGGGTTTAAACCAGCCAACGAAAAGGATGAAAAAGTCAAAGAGAAATGCCCGGATTTTGCTGGATTTGTGAAACAGAATGGGCATAACCAGCCTTTTGTGAACGGGCATGATCAGCCCATTGCCTGCCAAACCAGAAAAGCCAAAGCCACTTTGACACACTAAACTGATCTGTTTTTCTATAAGATTCTTGCTAACATTTACGTAATCCCCCCCCCCTTTTTTTTTTGGGGGGGGGGGGGTAAATTAATAACCTGAGGTTGAGTGTGGGTTTGGGTATATTGATGGTAAAGAGGAGGTTTTATTAAGTAAATGTGCTTTTCTGGTCACGATTGTTTCTGTGGGTTATGGAAAATTAGAACCAGTAGAAAACACAAGATGCAGGTACAAAACAATGCTTTTCTACCTATGTTAAACAGGCTGGTGCTGTTTTCATATAGTTTCTATGGTTTATGAAAATCGAAACTAGAACCCATAGAAATAACACACAAACACACGATTCAATTTACAGAATAATGTTCTCTGCCTATATGTTAAACAGGCTGTTGCCCATTGTAGAATATATATTAAAAACTGTCTAGCCTGTTGCTACATTTTCAGTTAATATTTATAATTCATATGAATCTTTTTATATTCTATTCAATATGTATTTTGTGTATGTTAATTTTTTCACTTCTTGTTAGAAGGACTGAGAGTTTTGTGATAAACAGATATTTCATCGTACTAAATGGATGGATTGAAAATTTTGTTTTTGACGGCAGACTTTGAGTCAGACACCCTTGAAACCATATCAGATCTATTAGAAATTCACCTTCTTTTTCTCTGATAGATAGGGTGTTGTTGTCAGGTTGAGGCAGTTGAAAAATTTATATTTGTACACTTATTTCGCTTTAGGTTTGTTATGGACCCGTTGTAGAGATTTTATGGTCTTTGCTATTTTTTACATTCCACATATCTTTTCATTTTTTAATACAGTGGTTCATTAATTCCACTGAAAGTTTCATTTTCTTACTTTCAAGTCGCCTTTCGTCATTAAACGGTATATTAAATTATTTCACTGTTTTGTGTTCTATGAACTATGCTATGCCGCGATGCCGATATTTCCGATCACCATATACTATTTATCACTGACTTTCCCAAAACAACCCACCATAATTCTGAAAGTCTATCCTCCATGTTAGCTATATAATGTTGATGTGTGCATTAATTTTTTACAGATTAATATACACAATCAATACTTAATAATTTGTATGAGACTCTTGGACATTAGGAATCACATTAGAAAATCAAGTTGATCGCTACGATTTGTTGCACTGGCGAAAACTCGTTTGTTTACAGCTTATGCTGATTAATTACTTAAAATATGACATACCTTTGAAAAGAATAGGACAATTATTATTATTATTATTATTATTATTATTATTATTATTACCAGGCAATGCACCGTAGGCCTACTTGTTCTATCTGGCTGCCAGCACGTACACAAACCACAACTGCTAAATAGATGCTATGATGTTTTTAACGCGAAAACACGATGGTTTTCAGTACATGTTAACGTCTACCTGTTTGTATGCCAATCAACCTTGCGCATCGGCTGTCACGCATTCCGAGGTGACATTAGGTCGCTATAATTAGTATAAAAACTAAATTAGGGTAGGCAAAATATTTTTCAGTTGTTTCAGATCATCACACGCTGTGGCATATGTGTGAAAAATGTTTCCACGGGCAGCCGCCGCATAACCGAATTTTAGAGTGAGGAACGGTTGGATTTTATAATTAAAGGCTACTAGTACAGGTGCAAGCAGAATTAGCACGTGCTGAGCTAGAGCACCGCGGCTAGGGGGATACCGAGCTCTCAGAGTAAAACAAAAACATATAAAAGGGAAAAGAGTTTTTAAAAATTGATAAAATGACTTTTTTGAAACAGATTGAACAAGAAAGAGAAAAAAGTGTGTGTGTGTGCGTGTGTTTGTGTGTGTGTGTGTGTTTGAGAGAGAGAGAGAGAGAGAGAGAGAGAGAGAGAGAGAGAGGATATATATATATAGCAATGAGAGTTTTTAAAATGTATGATGGGCGCACCATGGTCCATGGGATAGCCTACTTAGGGCACCAAGTGACCTCAATCCGACGCGGTGATTGAATATTGTGTATATTGAGTCTATTCCTCATGACAATTTGTTCTACCTTTGGTGAGAGCTGCTCAGCAATCCACTTTTCACCAATAAGCCGCCAATGTAATGTTTGTCGGTTAACATTATGACAAGTGTGACGTTTGGAATATTAAACGATTCAAAACCTCCAGTTGAATAATCATAGTGCTTGTGATTATAAGACAACAGCAAAGACCACATCAATATTGAAATCATATTTAGCCAGATGTAAAAATGTTTACGATCACGATGATTCACTACTGGTCCAGGAACCGTAAGAGTTTTAATATATGTTTTTTGGCGGCCATTTGCATATTGATTCTTTATAACTTTACATGTGTAACTCTCATTAGGGTCAGATGCCTCTGGTGTAAAAGCAGCAATAAACTTATCTTTTCTGTATATTCATTTATCTTTTATTTACCTATTTGCACATTCAATATTCAGTTATTTACTCACTTATTTTAATGAATGATTTATTAAAATTAATTATATTGATAAATTTATTTATTTTTTATTTGATAATCAAGTCTTGTGTTTATATTTTACTAGACACACGGGGTGTTAACTGCTTTGTGTACTACTTTGGGTTTTGTAGTTTAACTATTCGAAAGTCATTACCAAATCCTGATGTAATTTTCTCCCATTGGACAATGCAAGGGGCAATTATGAAAACAAAGCTTTTATACAACAGAATGGTTTCTCTATGTTGCTTAATAAGGCAAAATCAAGACAGTGAGGTTATGCTTCTTTATTAAAGTCATATGCTGACCTACTTTCGAATTCCATGGAATTCATTAATGAAAATGCAGATATACAAAGGTAGTAATACATGTAGCTGTTTCCCCAACCGCCGAAGATACCACCTTTAATACCTTAACCTTGTCAAGGATAACGAGAGGACGGGAGTTACAGATCATATAATTTCACTATCCGTACCACAGATGTTAACCCGTGTAACGTTTAACATCTTAATGTTTTTTGTTTGAGTGTGTGCATGTCCTCGTCAAAATCCTGGATTCCTCTTTGTAGATGTATCGTATTGAAGATTTCGTTTCTGGTTAAAATTCTTCTATCCATTCTTTTTTTGAAAGACTAGTTTTAGACACTTTTAAAAGTTATTATTTAATCATACCGTAACATCTATTGGCTGTGGAGTAGAGGTGGCTTGTTTCTATCTCTCACCTTTTGCTGGGCATCCTAAAATGAAAAACCGAACACCTATTTGAACGGCTGTTCCATAAGGCATCAATATTGCAAAAGAGATAGATAGATAGATAGATAGATGGTCAGATGGATGAACGAATAATTAAATCAGTATATAAAAGCTAATACAATGATGAATACATGAGGTGTACATATCAAATGAAAAATAAGGTGAAAAATTTTCACATCAATAATATACCCATGCTGACCAATGAAATTAAATGTATTATGAATTTATTATTTGAGAGCTAATTAACATATGAATATATATCGATGTTTGTTTTGATATCTCAATAAACATATATATAAATGCTCTTGTATACCTGTCAATATAACTGTATGACACAAAGCGGCTGCCTCAACTAAAATGCTCATACATGTAAGTCGAAAAAGCGTCCCGTTTTTGTACAAATCATGAAACTATTTCTCTCTCTCTCTCTCTCTCTCTCTCTCTCTCTCTCTCTCTCTATATATATATATATATATATATATATATGATTACTCAACTCAAATTGTACTTTTCCTTAAAGGTACATATGAACCGAGCATCTGCGGGGCGTGGATTCCCAGTAACACATATAAACCACTTCTAATAGTTTTTTATTCAACTAAAATTAAGTCGACATGTCAAGGGATAAACTGGATAAATCACTGGATCAGCCATAAAAGAGCTTTAGACTGCCTTTTCTTTAAATTTTTCGTCAGAAATTTAACCTACTTATGTGACCTACTTTTCTGCCCCATGTATATATACAGCGTAGACAGCAAGCAGAAAAATCCGTTCAAATATCATTTTCGGGTAATATTAAGCAATGTCTTTTGGTTATTCTCTTAGTTATACTATTTGTAACTATATGCTGGCATTTGGTTGGTTTTTGTGGCAAAAAATTGACTTTATATGCATCTTTTAAGTGTTATATTATTATATTTATTAATTTATTTATTATGATGTCTATGTGAGATTTTTGTGAGATTGTACAACTTACGATTCTCATGTTTATTAATCCACATATACGTCTCCATATCATCATTACTAAGGCAAAATTCCGTTGCCAAGATATTCTTTGTTCTCTTTTTAAGTCTGGAAGACAAGGAGGTTTTCCTTCCCCATATGGTGATCATACGGATGTTGTCGAAACTTGGACTCTTTTGGTACGTGATAAGGAAATTTTTATAGTCGGTCCTGACAAAATATAACGAATCAACAGCTGTTCCATCTGAAACAAAAGGTTAAAAATACAAATAAACAACTAATTACCAGCAAAGGTCAATTATATTGTGTCATGGGTACCCTATTGATTCGACGATGAAACCTTGTGTTGCGGCGTGGTTTTAGGGTTTTATGTTTTGTACGCTCTGTTATGTATGTTAGATTGTGTTACGTTCTCAAACTTTTAAGCCAAATTCACTGAGAAAGGTGACGTATGAGACTGAGAGCTACACTGTCAAAACAGAATTTAAAAAACTCCCTAGTTTGTCTTTTGTCTGAAAAGTGATTATGTGAAAAATAACGTGTTAGCTGATTGAATTATTACACATATACATCAAGAACACTATACTTAAGGCGAGGACTAATTCTCGATGCCATTTCGTTTTCTTTTGCAAGGTTTCTTTTTTCCATGACACTGTCCATGACAATATTCACACTGCCCATGACAACTTTCATGAAGTTGGTATCATATCTGATATTCTTACCAAGTATCCAGTTGTATTTGCCCACGGTGTCCGTTGGTACCAGATCACGAGTCCAATTAGAACACATGGTAAAGTTCAAAGTTCCCCTGAATAAAAAAATGAGCAGATGAGTATATAAAGCAAAGAGTAAATGCATATATAAATCAATGAATAAATACAGAAATAAAAAATGAATGAATTAATAAATAGCTATATAGAGTAAATATATGAAGTGACTTGATGCATTGGTATATAAACAGACAGACAGACAGACAGACAGATGAGCACATAGACAGCTACAGTGCAAGTAGATACATATAAATTTCAAATAATGGACAAAGAAAAAAAGAAACCGTAGCTACATTTACCCGTATCGGAGATCAAATCCCCAGATCATGCTTCCATTTGATTGCGGGGTAAACGTGTTCGAGTAGTCTCTCCATATTTCAAGACCTGGAAATGGCCAGTAAATTTGGAGACCGTACCAACGTCCCTTTATCTGAAAATAAACACGAAACTGATTGTCAAGACATGTCATTAATTATTGAGTTAGGCTGTTAAACAAACAATTAAAGCATCAAAGATCAAAACCTCCTCGGCTGAGGTACTAGTAATGATGTAACATAATATATGTTTACAGCCCGTGTTTTAATATTTACGATGTGTACTAATCACGAGAGACGGTATTTCACTAATATCTGGGACCACCTGCGTACTCATTTATTTATCATCTATTTATCTATATATTTTCATTTGTTTACTGAAATTATCCGTTAGTCTTTTACCTTTTGTTATAGTAGTTTAAGTAGCAACCATGCACGGTAACATTAGCCGATGATAGCGGCAGTGCGCGCCTTCAAGGAGACTAGAAAATGTGCGAGAATACGCAAGAAGTGGGACTAAGCTTGAAAAGCTGAGGGTGACACAATGTTAGCCAGAAACTTTTGTTTAAGAAAGTAATTAAAAGAATCGTTGTGCAGTAGACTAACTTAGCAAAGCGTAAGGCCACACTGATTAAATTTCATGGATGACATCCGAGCGCGCATTAATTTTAGTCTGTCTTCAAAAAAGATGTTAGAATTAAAAAATCACTTCCTTGGAACTACGGAACTGACTGCTGTCACCGTCTGCGCTCATTCAAAGTGCCGCGAAAACTTGGATTGTTGCAAAACTCGTTTATTTTCTCCTGCAAAAATTTGCTGAATTTGTCGTAATCTTCTACGCATGCATATTGCCGCCAAAAGTGGATTGCGGGTATCTCGGATTACCCCTGTTGTCGTCAAAATGCATAACCATAAAAGTTCAAAAGAAAACAGGGTGCGTGATTGTAGATTGGTATACAATTAACGTTGGCAAGGTTGATATAACGATTACTCAACTACAGACTGGCGGCAGCAGCGAACGACTATAGATCGTTCAGACAACTTCAAAGACGTATTATCCAGAGCGGCTTACACACGCTTCTTTTGCAGCGACTAGAGAAAAGCGAAGGGGAGTTGAGGAATGTGGTGGCCTTAAAGGTGGCCGGTCTACTCGCCAGTTCGGTTCCTTTTTCCTGGGCTGAAGTGAACCAAACTTCAACAACTGCAGTTTGATGCAGTGAGAAAAAGCAGATGACTTCTGACTCTTCACAGTGTCAGTAGTGTTCTCAGCACGAATAAAGACTTGTTGTTAGTTTGATACACTGTGACCTGTGGTTCAGTTTGCATTTCCAGCTGTGTTTACTTTACTTTAGCAGCACTTTTTGCTGGACTTTTTATTTCGCCCTCTAGCATTAGTTTCCTGGTCTCCAAAGGACGTTATCCATTAAACTTATTCAGTGTGGCCTAAAGGGGAAAGGGAATAGCGCAGCCGTGGTTGACTTTCCTCAGCTTTGATTCAATACCGCATTCGAGAGTCCCTGCAACCGAGGTAAAATCCCTGCTTTCCACCAATATTAAGCAAAAGAATTCGCACAGACCTACACTTTGCTTTTTCCATAATAAGAATTACATACCCTTTGTGGGTAAAATTTCTTGAGAGTTCTTGGACCCTTACACGACTGCGTTGCACTGGATTTTACACAGCAGACGACCAAGGCAATGAGGAAGACTACTTTCATGGTGCAGAAATGCGGCAACTTTCGGGTGCGATTTTATTCACATAGGTGGCATAATGATATTAGCATGTACTTAGTCAATGGCAGCGGGCAAATTGGACGTTAGTATTTTATTAATGTCCCTTAATAAGATTTATTCAGTAGCGGGTCACATACCTTAAAAGTAAATGGCGTGGCAAATTTGGATAAGAGATGCACGTCAGGAATATTGCAACATATTACAATGACAAATTGCATTCATGTGTATTTTATTTGTCTTATTTTACATTCGGATGTTTCAGTCTGAAAGACACAAAAAAGTCATTATTGGTGATAGATGTATACCACACACATTGCTATATTAAAGGTATTCAGTACGCGAAATATTCATCTCTTGTCTCAAGGAAAATGAAATTTTTCGCAAAAAAATCCCTCTGAGCTATGATACCTATTTTATGCAGACAGCGTCATTATGTGCCATGGTTCATATTATACACAGCGTGACTCGTTTACACAGACGGTACGTTCACAAAGGCTATCTCTTTTTGCCTGCTTTGAATTATTCAATAGGGGTGCAGACATATTTTCATAGATTTTTCATTCAGCGATCCTACTTCTACTGCAATTAATACTAGACACTGTTTGCACTGTTTGTGTACCCAGGCCTTAAAAAAACAATCCCAACATATCTAGATAATGACTGCAGTTGTAAGTCATACACTGTAATTAGCATGGAATATGTGATATCCTATAAATGATTTTTGTTATCAAAATGGGATCCACTAACAATTAGTATTAGTGGGAAACCATACTTACGTATTCACATTCAGGGGGTGCTACCTCAGTATGTTACGTTTTCCCCCCAAGAACCTCAATGAAAGGGTCCCGAGTGCCAAATCTTTTCAGCTTGCTCTATTCTTGATTCATTATTAATATTTGCGATCTTGAGAATTTCGTCATTGTGAGCCGCTCATCCTACGACCTCTGTTGATGTTCTATAAAGGATTACATTTAAAAATATGAGGCGTGAAAGGGACTTGGGAAGAATTAAGGGAGTTGAACTCCCAAGACAGAAGTACGTTGAGTACATTGATAATGCTGGCATTTCATCTCTTTGACCACACAGTTCACTTGAAATAACATGTGAAACGAGTAACTGCATATCTTGGATTTCTAATGCTCGATTTGACAAATGTGCTTATAAAATATGGTACAATAAATAATATAAACTCGTGCAAAGATTGTAATTAAAAGTTTATATTTATATATTACAATTAATTTTTTTATCATACATTTCATGCTTTTGTAGACTTTTTGTCATCGTATGTTATTTAACCTTTGGCCCTAATAATCCTTTGTTCGATATCAGCTTTGATCATGTTCAGCATTAGTTTAAAAAAATGCCCATTATGAGTTGAATATACTGTATCATAATGCGGACCTTCAGTATTAAAACATACAAGGTCCTAGGACTTGCCATACTGAAATAGAGTGTCCAAGGGGACTCTACATTTCAGAGCTTAGAACCGTTATTTCGAGAAAGAAGGTCCGACTAGCTTTTAGTTAAAAAAAGAAAAAAGAAAAAAAAAACGTGTCGGGCCGACCCTAGAAAGGTAGGACTCTGTGTTGCTTGACACCGGCTCCGAGGAACAGTGTTTCAATTTAGTCATGTCGTTGTATGAACTAAGCTACGTATGCAACGTCATTATTTTTCAAAGATAATGCCAGATGGCTCACAATTTGAAAAAAAAAAAACGCAGTTGACGTCAGGGGGGCCAGCTTGCCCCGCCACGGGGCAAGTTGGCCCCAGGGTCGGAGCAAGTTGGCACCCTATACGAAAATGACCTAAGTATCCCTGTAAACGCCTTGAAATACATTTTTATACATTTTTAATCTATTAAATTGATTTTTGAGTCTTAGATGATTAAATAGTTCAAATGAGGCAGATTTATTGAGGTTTCCGTACGTCACGTTGTATGTGTTGCAAGAACCAAAATATCTATCAGTAAAATTTGTTTTAATTAAGAAAAAATTAATAATGGTACAAAGCAGGTTTTTAATGAATGAAAACGAATAATAAATTTTCGTTTTAAAAGAAAGTTACAAATTCTTTACATTTTCAGAAAATATATCACGACATTTTAAGTGTTCAGTTTCACCCTTTATTTTTTATGTCAAACTGTAATCGAAAATCCTGACCTATATTAGAAAAAAGTCACCGTGCATGACAAAACATAACGACGTTCCTCACCAATATACCGCAGGTGCCATTTCCTAAAAGACAATTAAAGGTTTCCAAAGGGATGCTAAAGCAGCAATTAAAATTATTTTATCCTGGATAGGCTCGTGATCAGCTTGTATAACCCAAGGCATCAACGGTTGCATAAGCCTCCAAAGAGTTTGTCACGTTATTATCGGTTTTTCTAGAGGTAAACAAGATGGCAATTAATCAGAGCTTCCGAGTTTTGAAATCATTTATAATGTATTTAGTGTCTTTAAGACTCCTGAGAAGGAAAAATGTCAGACGTACCGGAAACTTCGGCTCGTGTTACACAACTTGTCGTGCTTGTTTTGTTGATTACCTTTGCAAAACAAGTTTTCTTGAAATTTCGAAAACAGGAAAATCATGCGCAAGCTGTCTGCATTACTGCAGTTTCTCTTTGCTGTACGAAGTTTTGTTTGTAAACGTGAAAGTACCGGTCAGTCAGTTCAGCATCCTCGAAAACTGCGAAATCTTATTCTATGTCAGTAGTCTTTTAGAATAAAATCAAATAATCAATTCTTATTATGACATATATATCATAAAATTTGTTGATGACACATCTATTTATGAAATTTGTAAGTTTGGCCAAAAGTCACTACTTCCACAGGCAATAGAGCAACTTGAAAATTGGGTTAGAAAAAACAATATGAAATTAAATGTAAAGAAGACAAAATGTATGGATTTTAACTTTACCAAATGTATAGATATCATTCCAACACTATTGGTAGATGGAGAAATTGTAGAAAAAGTGAGTAAATTTAAGCTACTAGGAGTAACTCTGACCCCTGATCTCAAGTGGACAGAACATGTGCAGTTAATTTATTCAAAGTCTTGTGCCAAGCTTTTTTATCTAAGGCAGTTGAAAAGGGCAAATCTGGCCACTGAGGATCTAATAGTTATATATCAATCAATAATTAGATCAGTCCTAGAATATGCATGCCCTGTGTGGGGGCCTGGTCTTACAGCCGAACAATGTGAATGCTTAGAATCTGTTCAAAGGAGAGCTCTTAGAATTATTTACCCATTTTATACTTACAAGGATGCCCTACAGGCTAGTAATCTCACCTCTCTGAGGGAGAGAAGAGACGTTTTACTTAAGAACTTTTTTACAAAAATCAAGAATTTTAATAAGTTACACCATCTGTTTAAACAAAAGAACCCAAGAAATCTCAGGGTCAGCAACAAATTTTTAATACCAAAAGTAAAAACGGAACGTTTTAAATAATCTTTTATAATGCACAGTCTTTTAAATTTTATGTAAATTACTGCTTCAAACTGTCTTATAAGTCTTTGGTCCTTTAGTTTATAATTTTTAGTTAATTTTTAAAATACCTAATGATTTTATTATTTAAGACACATTGTAAAACTTCAACCTTTAGGTTGCGATTTTAGTAAATAAATTATTATTTTTTTTTATTGTCAATTTGACAATATTCATGCAGCCATACTCACTGTCAAGTTATAAATCTAAAAACAAAAAAGGATTTACAAAAGCCACACTTAAGTTTACCATAATGAAAAAACACTCTCAATGTGAATTTACCAAATCATATCTAAAAGTACAAATGCATTTTAATTTGATAAATTTAAATTAGTTATCAAACGAATAAAAAATTAGGCTCCGCTACAAGTCTAGTTGTATTACAAAGCTGTTCGGAAACCTATAGTTCTGCCTTCCACCACAGCTAAAGAGCGATGTTCTAAAATTTGATATACACAGTTATTTCTCTTTAATTCTGTACACATTCTATCCAGCGAGAATGTTAGCACAGAATTTCAGTAATGATGTCTTCACTAAGCTGCATGGCCTCAGATAAATTTACACCTTCTGCACGTACATAAGCGCAGCTTAAGATAATCTACAGTATGCATTTTGCTTCTGAGGCGACTTATCAATTATTGGCAGCGGCCAATAATCCTCTTTTTTATTTTGCATAACATCCAACCTTATCATCAAGGTACATAGTTTACAGTACATTATGTCGTTCAATTAGTGATTTAAGAAAATACATTTATTTCATTTTTTTTACTCATAAACAACACACAGTTCAATGGGACATCCTGAGTCTTTCACGATACCCGATGTATTTGTACCTAAATTTATAAATCAAAAATCAAATTGAGTGCATAAAAATTGAAATTAAAATACAAATAGAAATCATAAGTTTATATTGATTATATTGCAGTTATGAGGGTTATCAGACACGGACTTTCATTTTTTGTTTTCTATTAGGCCACACTTTTTTATTTTTATGGATGACATCCTGCGCGCGCACCAATTTTCGTCGTTCTCCAAAAAAAAAAAAAAAAAAAAAAAACCACCCNTTAAAATACCTTATGATTTTATTATTTAAGACACATTGTAAAACTTCAACCTTTAGGTTGCGATTTTAGTAAATAAATTATTATTATTATTTTTTATTGTCAATTTGACAATATTCATGCAGCCATACTCACTGTCAAGTTATAAATCTAAAAACCACAGCTAAAGAGGGATGTTCTAAAATTTGATATACACAGGTATTTCTCTTTAATTCTGTACACATTCTATCCAGCGAGAATGTTAGCACAGAATTTCAGTAATGATGTCTTCACTAAGCTGCATGACCTCAGATAAATTTACACCTTCTGCACATAAGCGCAGCTTAAGATAATCTACAGTATGCATTTTGCTTCTGAGGCGACTTATCAATTATTGCCAGCGGCCAATAATCCTCTTTTTTATTTTGCATAACATCCAACCTTATCATCAAGGTACATAGTTTA